TATAAAATATATATGTATATATACTTTTCCTAATTTATAACTTATACGTTTACTAAATTATAATAGGATATATTAAATGAAAAAATGTATGAAATCATATAATTGTTTAAACTAAAAACAATGAGCATAAAAATAATATTATCACATTATGGAAACATAAATAATCATTTTTATCATATAATGTTAATATTGCATATTGGAAGTTGTATCAAGATTATATTGGATTATTTTGTTTCTTCGTAATTATTTCGGAAATATTTTTTAACAGAAATTATATTTATTGCGTATATAGATTTTTTTCAAATAAAAAGTGTTTAATAATAGATAACTTATGTTATAGTTTTAGAAATTAATTCCTTTTTGTTTTTGAGAATATAACCATGTTCTTATTTGTGGAACTGTTCGTTTCGCTAAACATGGAGTAGAAGTTATAAGATTCTTCATTTCTTTTCCAGTTATTGGTGTATCAGCTTGTAATTGTTCTCTAAACGTTGCTAATACAACGCTTTTTTCTTCTTGTGTCCAGGCTATTCGTTTAACAGGTGTCGCAAAGGCGTCTATATATAAAAGAAATTAAACGCATAATTAATATATAAATTAATATATAAATTTCTTCATTTTACAATAATTTTATATCAAATAATATTAATGTCTTAATTAAATGTATTTAGTCAAATATGTACTAATAAATTTGACCGTTACCTCCTGACCTACGTTTCTTTCGCACCGCTTTAATTTCGGTTTTTGTACGTTTCTTATATACTGGAGTTGATGGCGAATCTGTATAAAAAATATATAAAAATAAAAAAAAACAATTTATAGCTAATTTATAACTTATAAAAGCAAATTTTACGTTGTCTTCCGCAGAATTTATTAGCAGCTTATTAGCAGATATAACAAGATCTGATGGCAGAGTATGATAACAGATTAATGGCAGAAATCATACAAAATCAATCGTTCTAATATATACAAACATATTTAAGAATATTTTATATATTTATGTGTATTTTTAAATAAACATATATATAAAAAATAGGATCACATACTACAGATCTTGCTTTCTGCTGCTAATTTATTGTCAGATTCTGTTAGCAGACTTTGCCGAGAAACACGAGCCGAATATGAATACAAAGGCCTATGAATCTGTCGATAAGTCTTGAACAAATTTATCGCCAATCTATTAACAAATTGCTAACAGATTGTTTAATAAGATATTTTTAGTAATAAATTTTATTCACCATCACTTGTCTCTTGTAAAGAATTTATTTCTTTAAGTAATTTGTAACTCTTGATTTTCTTTATTTTCATTATTTTCGGTGTCACTGTCGCTTTCATCAATTAAATTATTTGCTGCATCCCTGACACCTTGTGCAGCTTCTAGAAGTTGTGAAACTTCTGTTATATCTTTAACTATTACTGGTTTCCTATATACTTCTTTATGTATTTTATCATGATGGCCCATAAAATTTGCTAGATCTGTAATCTGATTATCTGATAAATTAAGTGTAATTCCCATAGTAGCTATATGTTTTCTGAATGTAGTGCCACATAATGTATTAGGAAATTCACTTCCATATTCTTTAGCAAAACACAACATTATTTGATATGCATGTAAATGTTTATCAATCATTTTATCATGTCCTGGAACACCAAACAAGTAAGGATTTTTCGATTGTACTTTGGCTTTACTTCTTAACCTTAAAAACGTTTGTGCACATTTTAAATTAAGTTCATCTAGTATTATAGGGACAATTCTTCCTAACTTTCCTCGTATACAAAATCGCACGTATTTTTGTGCCTGTTCTTTTTGATCTTTAGATAATCCATTGAATGTGTCAAAATTTTCATTAATTCTTTCGTAATTTTCAAAATCAGAAATTAAAATTCTTTCAGTTTCTCCAGGACGACGACGGTTAAATAATTGTATTGACGATAAAGTAGCTTCTCCAAGAGGAGTCCAGGCAGATAATGAAAAATTTTTCTGCAAATCATTATAAGACTTTTTTTGCACTTCTAGAAGATGATTCCGCAATTTTTGTATATCATTCATTGTAGGAAGCTTTGTAATTTTTTGTCTTTTAAATTGAGTTTGAGACTCAACTACAGTTTTATTAACGCTTGCTCCATAATCAACAGTTAAGAGTTTTAAAAAATTTTCCGTATTCGTTTTTGTACTATTGTTATGCTCTTTTATGCATTTTGTTATTAAAATTTCACCAATATGCTTCACATAAGTACCAAGATTAGGTGCAACGGCAGGTTTATCATAAGTATCCTTTTCTTCATTATATTGTGCAACAATATTAATGGCATCTATGAAAGTATCATAATATTTTGGGTGGTACATAGAAGTCAAAGATGTTATATCATTATTAATATTTCTCATTGCTTTCAACAAGCGACTTACAAGTCGCAATCGTGCCCTAATCATTTGTAAATGATGCGAGGAATGCCTATACTTTTTACATTGAGAATTTGTAAATAATAACAGTAAGATATCGTAACGAATATTATATGTTATTTCATCATTTCTCATTGCTGGTAATACTAATCGCCGTACTCTTTCATCAGCCTCTTTGAGACATTTGCCCTCTAATCTCCGGCCCATTACTTTAACAATGTGACTTTTATCTCCTCTCCGGTTTGTACAATTTTTGAAGTGATGTCTTAGTGTCGACTTCAGATAATGACCTTTGCAATTCCCACATGCCAGATAATTTTTAAGAATTTTAGGATAATTTTCTCTTGCTCTCCTAGTTGGAATAAAACCTTGGCCTTTATATTGTTTTTCAATGTTAAATTTGAAATTTCCTTTTTTTCTTAATAAATCAATGATTTTTCTTCTTTCGCTACAACCTTTAGGTAAATATTTGAATTTTTGAACTTCA